GCTAAGGATAACTGTTGCTGTTTGTTCATTGTTTTCTGTGTCTTTATTCTTCTCTGTAATTTTTGTGCTGATTTTTTGTTGTTGTTAGTAATACTTTGATTTCTCATTTCCTATTGTATATACTCTGTAGATATTTTCTTTGTGATTACCAGAGGCATTATCTAAAACTTCTAAAATGATAATAAACTGTTTGGAACCAATACAAAATCTGTCCCCTTTTACAACTTTGCCACTCCCTTTGTTATTAATGTCCTATGTTTTAGCTTTATACGTTGTATGCCCATTAACAGATTTATAGGATTTGTTTTGTTTTGTCTTTTAAATTTTACACACAAATAAGGAGTGAATTTATCAAAATTACAATAATGCAAATTTCTATATTTGTGTATTATTCTTTTTTTTTTTTTGAGTTGGAGTCTCACTCGGTCACCCAGACAGGAGTGCAGTGGCCGCTTCTGGCCACTGCAGCCTCGACCTGCTGGGCTCCGGCGATCCTTCCACCTCGGCCTTCCAAGTAGCCGGAATTACAGGCATAGGCTACCATGCCCAGCTGATTTTTTGATTTATTGTAGAGATGAGGTCTCGCTGCCCAGGCGGGTCTCGAACCCGCGGGCTCAGGCAATCCACTCACCACAGCCTCCCAAAGGCGTGGGATTACAGGCTGAACCATCGAGCCCGGCTTGTGTATTATTCTTTACCAGAGAACTTTATATTTTCATATGGCTTCTTGTTGCTATTTAGCATGCTCTATTTCAGCTTGGAGGACTACCTTTAGCTTTTCTTATGGAGCAGTTCTCATGGGTAATGAACCCCTCAGCTCTTGTTTATCTAGGAAAGACTTAACATGTCCTTTGTGTTTGAAGGACATTTGTGCTAGTGCGGTATTTTTGCTTTTTTTTTTTTTTTTCTTTCAGCACTTCATTCCTTTGCCTTCTAGCCTGCAGGTTTTCTGCTGAGCTATCTACTGATCATTTCATTACAGAAAGCCTTTTATACATGAGAAGTCACTTTTCTCTTGATGCTTTCAAGTTTCTCTCTTTATCTGTAACTTTCAACTATTGGATTCGTCTTAGATGGTTGTCCTTTGGTTTAGCCTGTTTTGAGTTTTTTGAGCTTCTTGAATGTGTGTCTGTTTCTGTCCTCAAATATTGGAAATTTTAAGCTATTTCTTCAGATACAGTGTTTACTCTTTTCTCTCTTTTCTGTCTTTCACCCTCTTGAACTACCATAATGTATCTCTTGGTCCACTTGACAGGGTTTTATAAGTCCTTTAAATTCTACTCAATTATCTCCATTCTTTTTGTTTGTGTTCCTCTTACTAGACCAGGTGTTGAACCTATTTAGTGTATTTTTCCTTTACTTGTGATATTTTTCAGCTTCAGACTTTGTTCTTTTTTATACTTTCTATTTGTTAATAGTCTTTTTCTTATTTCATTAGTTTATCTGTTCTTCTTTAGGTCATTAAATATAATTAAAGAAAGTTATACATTTCATTGTGGACACTTTCTAGAGACTTATTTTCTTCCCTGGGCCATGTTTCCCTGCTTTTTTTGTATGCCCTATGATCTGTTTCTCTTTGAGGTTTTGGAAAAACAGCCACTTCTCTCAGGTTATAGATTCTGGGACCTCTCATACCTAACCTTTTCAAGGGATGTGTCTAATGCACAGAAGGACTTGCCTCTGTCTTCAGTGATCTGTAACCTCACATCCAAAGTACAATGCTCTTCTCATCAGCAGTGTGAGACTTGGAATACAGAAACTTATCCCTTAAGCAGCCCCTGATTAATACAGATGTTAGATGCTTGTTCTCTTCTTTTCTTTTCATCCTTAAGGTGGAGCCAAAAATTGGGAAGTTGCCCTTCAAATCAGTCCTTGCTTACTGCAGATATGAGAGGGGCGTGGGCAAGAAAAATGCCAGGACTTTATGCTGTTTTGGGCAAGTTTTTTTCTTGGGTAGTCATTAGCATGGGTGCTGCAACGTTTTAACTTGTCTCTAGATTTCTGACTTAACTTTTTTTGGTTCCCAGATTGCTGTAAACTCTTGCCTTCGTCAAGATTTAACGGTCTGAAACGTCTTAGTCCACCATTGTGCTGATATTATTCCCTAATCTGTTGCCTTCTCAGTTAAATCTTTTTGCAGTAATTTTTAGTGGTTTTTGGGAGGGGTTACAATATGAATTCTTAATTTCTTTTAGCCTACTTACAACTGGTATTAAACTATTTCTCACAAAACATAGGAGGCTTTCAATACCGAAGCTACATTTACGACCCCTATTTGTCGTACTGCTTTTATAATTTAAGTATAGACTTACATGCTTTAGCTACATAAATTATGAATCCCCTATATGATTCTATAATTTCTGTTTTAAACAAGTGTGTCTAGTTTATAGAAATTTAGGGAGAGAGAGAGAGAGAAAGTCCTTTGTATTTGGCCACTCATTTATCATTTTCAGAGCCCCTGATTCTTTTTTGTAGATGCAATTTACTGTCTGGTGTCATTTTCTTTCTTTCTGGAGATTTTTTTTGGCATTTTTATAATGTAGTTCTGTTGGTGATGACACATTTCAATTTTTCTGACATGAAAATGTAGTTCACCTTCACGAGGATAGTTTCACTGGATATAGAATTGTGAGAATATTTTCTATCAGTAACTTAAAGATATCATTGCCTTTTATATGATGAGACTTTAGGCATCATGCATATGAGGTTGAATAGCACCAACCCATGAGCTGTATTTTGTCTGTCTGATTTCAAGATTCTTCCTTTGTCTTTGTTTTTCAATAGTTTCACTTTGGTGGGCCTATTGTACTTTTAGATGTATCTACCCTGATGAGAGGTCACTTGGCTTTGTGGCTCTGCACACATAATTTTTACAGGATTTGGGAAGATTTTTAGCCCTTGTCTGAAATTATATTGCATGATGTTGCATTCTTTTCCTCTCTGGAATTCCAGTTACACATAATGTGGTGCACTTTTTATATTTTTCTAGAGGTTTCAGGCACTGTTCTTTTTTCTTTCTTTATTTCATGGATATTATAAAATCAAGTTCCTTGACTTTCTTTGGTCATTTTCAATCTGCTGTTTAACCCAACCACTGGAATGTTTCATTTTAGTTGCCATACTTTACAACTCTAGTATTTATATTTGGCTCTTTTTAAATATTTTATTTTAATTTTGTACTAATAGTCCCCATCTATAATACATTACTGTATATCTTTTTAAATGTACTTGAACATATTTATGAATGGCTTGACAATTTTGCCTGCTAGTTGAAGCATTTGGGTCACTGGCAGGATGGATTAGTTTTAGGTGACTTTATTCTTCATTTCTGAGTATGAGCCAGTGTTCCTGTTCCTTCATACAGCTAGTGATTCCGAATTGTATCTTGAATATTATGAATCATATCTTGCTTGTATTGAGAACCTGTTATATTTCCCTGATGTGTGGTGCTATCCTAAAAAGTGCTTTAAATATATTTTTAGAAGTCACTCTTTCTGACAGTATTTAAAATGTTGCATCTCTGGTGGCAAACCTGAAAACTATCACACATTTCCCTAGTTTTCATACCTCCACACCCACCCCTACCCCTTTTATCCTTTAACTTTTCTTTAACATTCCTTTTTTTTTTGGTAAATACACTTGCTTTTGTCCCAAACACAAAGCACTGACAATACTCTTTGGTGAACAAGGAGATCCCAAAATAGTCCAAGCCTACAACTTTGCTCCCAACATGTAGCACAGGCGAAATGACAGGGGAGCCAATCAGTGGCCCTTACTGATGCAGCCAGATGCTCCTGAGAGTCCACTACTGTTTAAGGATTTGTTGATATAATCCTGAAGAAAACTAGAACAGATTTTGCAAACAAGTATCAGAGAATAAGTCTTTGATTGATAATTTTTCTATTTATTTCTGCCAAGGCAACTGAAAACACAAAAGCCTTTTCATCAGTGAAGTTAGCCTGGATATCAGTTTCCTTTTCCTGTTTCTCTCTTTCTTCCTCATGTTTTTTGGCAGATGCACCTTTAGGTCTTCCTCTTCCTCATCTGATATGAGCTGAATGACTGTTACTTCAATACCTTTTCCTGTTTTCTAAATCTTTATTTACTATAGCATTTATCTTCCCTCTCCTAACTCTCTCTGTTTGCCTCCTCCTGGCCTCATTCTTGTTTTCTGTAGAAGGTGGTGATTTCTCTTGAGTGTTTTGCATTTAAAAGTTTTCTGCTGGGCAACCCCTTTGGGTCTTCTCCCACTGTGGGAACTCTTCTATCCTCTCAATAAATCCTGCTTCCTCAACAACAACAACAAAAAGTTTTCCACTAATAAATATATAACTACAAGGACATGATTTACATGCAACAGGAACCTGTTGATCACACTTGGGGCACAATTTGATGGCCATCTTCACTTTCTTGGTTGCAGACATGCTCTTCTTACTCGGTGGCAGCTGCCAAAATCTTTTCTTTTGTTTTTTTTTTAAGCAGGATTTATTGAGAGGACAGAAAAGCTCCCACAGTGGGTGGGGACCGGAGGGCGTTGCCCATCTGTTATTTCTCATAGCTTGTAGCGGGTGCTGTTTTATTTGTCATTCTATGATCTTTCTCATATGTATGTTTTGACATAGGCAGCAGTTTTGGTTCTTGTGACACGTGGATGATGACTTAAGAAATATGCCATTACAGGGATTCACAGTGTCATTTGAGAATGTGTCTGTGGGCTTCAGCTGGGAGGAATGGCAGTACCTGGACAATGCCCAGAGGACCCTGTACAGGGATGTGGTGCTGGAGACCTACAGCAGTCTGGTGTCCTTTGGTGAGCAAAACTGCCCACTAACTCCTAGAAGCAACACTTTATTCCTTGTTTGTAAATATAAGAACCATTTATAAGGTTTCATGCCATTTAGGTGTAAGATTCCAATCCATGTCACCCCTTTATAATGAAGGGTTTATATTGGCTGTTTCATCGCATGAATCCTAATGCAAAGTTTTGTCTTTCTTCAAAGGACCTGTCTTTGTTTGGCAAAGTCCTACATTTTTTTCCCATTAATAGGACATTGCATTATGAAACCTGAAGTGATCTTAAAGCTGGAGCAAGGAGCAGAGCCATGGATGATAGAAGAGCTGCCAAAACTGATACTACCAGGTTAGTCAGTGTATGCTGGGTAGAGAGGTTTGGAAAAGTAGATGCCAGTGAATGTTTGCAGTGTGGACCTGTTTTGACCAACTTTTTCCATGGTTATAGATCTAAAGGATAGCTGGTATGTATGCCTCAAACCATATGCGTTATAGCATCAAACCATATGCGTTATATCATCTACAAAGAGGGCTCCTGTACCTGTATCTTCACCTTTCATATTGCTCAATATTTATTTACCCCAAGTCTAATTCCTATCTTCCTATTCTTAGGGATTTTGTTTGGGGGAGTGATATTTACTTTCTCAATATTCTCAATTATCTCTTATTTCATTCTCATAGACTTTTTTTAAAAACTGACATTTACTCACATTTACTCATTTATTCTTTCAGTACATCTTAATTGAGCAAGTTTTGTGCATGATAATTTTATAATTGTAACAGCAGTGATTAAACTCCTTGTTTATAGCATTTATATTCAAATAAGTGAGAAACAAGAAAATAATAAATATTAAGTAGTTGAATAAGAGCCATGAGATATTTAACCAGAGTGAGAAAGAGAAAAATATGGGATATGGTAATTTCAAAAGGATGGTGGGGAAAAGGTCATTTGTGGGGATTATTAATTTCTTACTTGGGCATAGCTTCAGTTTTAGTTAACTTGTTTCCAATGGTGACACATAATACATAGACACATAATACATAACTTCAGTTTTAGTTGCCTCCAGTGTTGACACATAATACATACATAATCTATATTGACATCACCATTGGAGATACAAATTTATAAGAAGGCTTAAAGCTGGTTTTTAAAGTTTTACTTAAAAGTTCACATAGGACGTTGGTAAGAAAATGAGAAAAGAAGTACAGGGCTGAACCTTGTCTGTCACATTAGAAATCATGAAATTGAGGAGGGCCTAGCATAGTAACATGTAGATGGATGGTCCTGGACTTGCGGGGAGGACCAGGAGATTCTTGGTCTTGAGACCAAGGTAACCAAGAGTTTCAGGGTAAAGGGCTTAGATTTCTTTTTTAGAGCAGAAAAGGTAGCCCTTTCCTTTTCTCTGTTGAAATCAGTCTTAAACTACAAAGAAAATGGGAAATATACAGGAGACTGTATTCTGTATAAAACTAAGAATTTCCCACCTATAGAATGAAAGCTTTCAGAAGCAGTGACTTGTCAACCAGCAGTGCATGCACAAGAAATTAGGGGTAGACCACAGGGATTGTTTGTTTCAGCAGTGGTGAGAAATACACTTTCCTGGACTGGAGCTTTCTGTGCCTGTTATGGTTCTCTGAAGCAGAGGGTCAGGTTAAATTAGTTATTTGCGTGAAGCTATCTTCATAGAGTGTGTGAAGAAGAGATTTTGTATTTTAAAATTCCCCAGATGCCTGTAATTTTCTAATGAAGAGTGAAAACTAAAGAAAGATGTTTAGATCCAGTCTCTAAGCCTTATTTCTACTTACTAGACAGACAATGACCCTCCAAGTCTGTAAGAAGAAGTATCATATACTTTAAAAACCGGTATTCTGTAAACTTTTATGCTGCTGAGGTAGGATGAAGCTCCTTTACATAAACATTCCCTAAGAAATGCATGTGTGTGCTTCATGGATATGTTAATTTTTTTCTCATTTCAGATGTCGGGATAGTTGATGACTTAATTGAGAGGAACCAACAAAGTCACAGTAGATAATTTGTGGCAAGTTGCACTTACCAACAGCAACACATCAACTAAGGAAAGAGTTCAATTACAAAAATATGTAATTTGAGTACAAACCATATCTCAGACATCAATGTAAATAGTGGAAATGATTCAGCGATGAGGCCTGAGTTGTTTAATGTATATCAAAATATGATTTTCCCAGTAATCCTGATGAGATGAAGAGTGGAGAAAATTTTGATGCCTGTAGTTTAACTGGGACGTTCCTCAAACTTGAGCAGTTTAGACAGCATCACAGGATTCAAACTGTGCAGCAGCATCTCGTCTGTAGTGAAAAAGAGCAAGTCTTTAACAGGGAGGCAGTGTTATTGACACGTAAGAGTGTTCTTGACACATAAGAGTGTTCTTGTGGGACAAGCTTCCTATACATGTAAAGAATATGGAAAAGCCTGTGATCAGTCAGCTCTTATTGCCCAAGTGATAACTCAGGTAGGTAGGAAAACTGTTGAATGTCAAGGATGTGGGAAAACCTTTCCAGAGAAGTCAAGAGTCAGCTCATTTCAGAGAACTTACACAGGGTTAAAACCCTGTATGTGTAAAGAATGTGGAAAAATCTTTCACCGAAAATCAAACCTCAGGAAGTATCAAGGTATTCTCAGAGTGGACAAACCTTGTGAATGTAATGAATGTGGAAAAACTTTTCGCTACAAGTCACAGCTCAGGCTGCATCAGTATAGTCACACAGGGAAAAACCCTATAAATGTAATGAATGTGGGAAAGCCTTTGTCTGGAAGTTATCTCTAAGGAAACATCAGCATGTTCATACTGTTCAGAAACTCTATGAATGTAATTATTGTGGAAAATTTTTTTCCTGAAAGGCAAACCTTAGGATGTATCAGGGTATTCACATAGGGGGAAAACACTATGAATGTAATGAATGTGGAAAAGCCTTTGCTTGGAAGTCAAGCTTAAAAAGCCATCAGGGTATTCACACAAGGCAGAAAGTCTATGAATGTAATGAATGTGGAAAGATTTTCTGCCAAAATTCACTCCTCAAAGAGCATCAGCATACTCACACAGGGAAAACCCTATAAATGTAATGATTGTGGGAAAAGCTTTTGCCTCGAAGTCAACATTCAGGATGCATCACCATGTTCACACTGGGCAAAAACCCTATGAATGTAATTACTGTGGAAAAAATTTTTCCCAGAAGGCATACTTTGGGATGCATCAGAATATTCACACAGAGGGAAAGCACTATAAATGTAATGAATGTGGAAAAACCTTTGTTTGGAAGTCAAGCTTAAAAAGCCACCAAGGTATTAACAGAGGGCAGAGAGCCTATGAATGTAATGTGTGTGGCAAAGTCTTCCAGTGGACGTCCGGACTCAATACACATCAAAGAATTCACACTGGGGAGAGACCCTATGAATGTAGTGAATGTGGAAAAACATTCTGCCGGAATTCATACCTCAAGGAGCATCAGGATACTCACATAGAGGGAAAACCTTATAAATGTAATGATTGTGGAAAAGCTTTTACCTCGAAGTCAACACTTAGGAAGCATGGGCATATTCACACAGGGTAGAAAACCTGTGAATGTACTGTGTGGGGGGAAAATCTACCAGAAGTCAGGACTCACTGCACATCGAAGGATTCATATTAGAGAGAAGCACAATGGATGTAACAAGCAGAAAAACCTTTGCTTGGAAGCCAAACTTCATAAATCATCAGTGTAATTTACACTGTCAAAAAACCTTTGAATGTAATATGTGTTAGAAAATTTATGGAAAGTAAGACCTCACTACACATGAAATACACACTGGGGAGAAACTCTATAAATGTGATGAAAGTGGAATAACTTCAGAACTCACCCCTCAGTTCACATCAAACAACTCACCCCAGTGAGAAGCCCTATGAATAATGTGGAAGAAATGTGGAAAAAACTTTCACTGGAAGTTACATCTCAGTTGACATCAGAGAACATACATGGGGGGAGTAAAACCTATGAGTGTGAGAAAGCATTCTACCTTATGTTATTTGTCACTAGACACAGAGAACTCTCAAGTATAAAACTGTGAATGTAATGAATGTGGAAAAACCTTGTCAGAAGTCACAACTTAGCAAGAAGTCACAGTGGGGAGAAATCAGATACTGTTTTCCAAACATCATTCCTTTTACTCTGGAACACACAACCTGCATTTCTTAGTCTCCCGTTTTTGTGGTCAGGACTATGCTCAGGACTAAGCTGAGATTTTTGTAGGGAAGTATGGACAAGTGATAAACTTCCAGACATAGCAACAAAAAACTGATTCACCATGATTTCTGATGCCTTGAGATCAGATGACCCTCCGGGTGACCTTGGGAGTCTTCAGTTGGACCTGGTCACTGTGCTTTATAACAGAATAAATTAATTGAAGAGAGTAGTGATCTTCCCACCTTGACCCCATGTTACCTCCTCCTACTTTAAATAAGCAACCAATAAATACCTGATCTATCAAACCATTGTGTTTGTGATCTGCTTAGTTCACAACACAAATCCGCTGTAGCTAATTTACTTTAAAGACTTCCTGAGGGAAATTCTCTGCCTTTCTATATAAAAATAAATTCACACAGGAGAGAACTTTGTGTTGTCACGTTTAGCAGTAAGTTTGCTTATTTAAAAACCAAAAGCCAGGCTCGGTGGCTCAGCCTGTAATCCCACACCTTTGGGAGGCTGACGTGAGTGGATTACCTGAGCCCGCAGGTTTGAGACCCACCTGGGCAGTGAGACCTCATCTCTACAATAAATCAAAAAATCAACCGGGTGTGGTAGCACATGCTTGTAATTCCGGCTACTCGGAAGGCTGAGGCGGAAGGATCGCCGGAGCCCAGCAGGTCGAGGCTGCGGGAGCGGCCACTGCATTCTAGTCTGGGTGACAGAGTGAGACTCCAACTCAAAAAAAAACCAAAGAGAAACACTGCAACAAATTGTGAATACTTGATCAAGCAGGGACATTTTATACTGAGAATAAAGTAAATCTTTATCAATATCTTTAATGTGTCCAAACCTTTAACAAAATTCCCAATTTATTTGGAATTATGGGCAGCTACCAGAGGACAGACAGTAAGTTATCAGGACCTCAATCCTTAAGGAAACATTCTACTCAAATAGAAATGAGTTTGGAAGCAAAATTTTTCTCACTTGAGCCTTCAGATGAGAATGCAGCCTGGCCCATACATTCATTGCAACTGTCTGAGATCCTGAGCAGAGGACTGGGCTAGGCCATACCAACTCTTGACCCATGTTAATTGTCAATTAGTAAAATGTTGTTTTGAGCTAATAGGGTAGTAGCTATTTCTTATGCAGCAGTAGAAAGCTAATGTTCTGCATAAGTACCAAAACAGGGCAACTCCTGACTGGCTATGCCAGTGGCCCTTCATTCCACTGAATCTACAGCATGAGGCCTGCCATTCACAGTCTCCACATTGAGGGCAGCCATATACAATGAAGGGACATAGCCACATAAATCAATATCCTATTGCAGAGAAATCATTTCCGTGTCTCTTCTCCTTTGATGGAACTTTCCCAGACGTGCTTTAAACAGAAGTGAGTCACATGCTAAACCCAAGAGATCACTAGAGAGAAGGTAAGTCTCAACTAATCATAAAAAGCTTAACCAAGGTAAAACTCTAAATAGCTCTGAGCGTGAGTAACAAAACCAAACTAAGAGTTTCCCAGATAGTTGAAGACAGCTCTTGTGTAGCCAAACAACAGTTATCATATCCTACCAGTTTGTTGCAGAGTGACTTTGAAAATGATAAGAGCCATCAGATCAAATACTTAACTGCTTACCAGGTACCAGGTAATATTCTATGTACTGCACTTATTTAAGTTACATTGAACATTTGTGGCAGTTTCTACTGTTATGGCCTTTTTGAATGCGATGAAATAGAACCTCAGAGACATTACAACCCTACTCAGAAGCATGTTGTAGCACACCATAATTGCAAATACAGACATAAAGATTCCTCAGTTACACAACATTTGGTACACAAACTCATATTGCTGACACATTTAAAAGCATAAAGAGCAATAGCAAAGGGAAAATTATCCCTCTAGAGAGGATATTACATGGAACTGAATGAAATAACTACTTAACAGCTGTTCATATTCAGACTCAAGCTGTTAATTGCCTGTTTTCTGCATTTCTATGGAAACTTTCTTTGTGAATCACATGCTGACTGTGTTAGCTTTAAACTTTAGAAAAAATTATTTTAAGGACAATTTGGTAGTAATGATCACACAATTACAAACTAGGAAAAACATGTAGTTCAGTATTTTAGAATTAATATATATTATTTACCAAGATATGAAAAACCTAGAGTGACTTACAGTGTAAAAACTCCAAGTGTAACTCAGGTTATGTAAAGGGAACATATCTACCCATGTTTGCACTGGGTTCTAATAAGAAAAATTTATTTTTTCGTGAAACAATATACATCAACTACATACTTGAGGGATCTGTTCTGTAAATTGTAGGCTGCTTAACCAGGTTTCCTCACAACCTCATTATAACATCTAAAATTCTAGACAAATTTCCCCAGGGAGGCAATATCGGCACTCATTTTACTTGGTATGCTGTCAAATGATTTTTTAAAATATAGTTAAGACTACTATAACATTTCTATATTAAAATGTGCCCTGCTCTATAAAATACAGTAACTGAAATGAAACATTTACTGCAAGGGCCTCTTGGTAGATTGGAAATTAAAAACTCATTCGACTTGACAGAGAAAATAGATGAAATCTGTATAAGATAAGAAGAATAAAGGTGGACAGTGTGAGATGTCTCAGAAAATATAGCAAGCTGATCAAATTATGTGTAACTGGAATTCCAGAAGGAGCAAAGAGAAAGTGTAACATTAAGAAGTATTCCAGATAATGGATAACATCTACTAAATTTTGTTAAAAAATATGTGTGTGTGTGTGTGTGTGTGTGTGTGTGTGTGTACACTGTTTACTGAACTACAAAACCCAATGAATCCTAGTCGGGATAGATACAAAGAAAAGTACGTTACACACATCATATTGAAACTGCAGAAATACAAAGGTAAATGGTCTTGAAAGCAGACAGAGCTCATTGGTTGATGGTGTTCAACTATATATGAATAATGAATGACATATACAAGACAATAATGTCTTTAAAGGACTGATTAAAATATTTTCTTAATTCTATATCCAGTGAAACTAAAGGTGAAATAAACTTTTTAATAAAAACTAAAATTGTCAGTAGAACTGCATTATTAAAATGCTAAAAGAAAACTGGGCTGAAAGAAAACGACTCCAAACAGTAACTTGGATCTACAGGAAAGAATCGGGGTCTCCAGAAATTGTAAATATGTAGGTAAATATAAAAAATTACATGTCTGTACCCGTATTTTCTTTAAAACAGGCATGCTTGTTTGTTTATAACAGAAATTAATAGTGTCATGTGTCATTCTAACATGTAGATGAAATATGTAAATATATACATCTACATTTTTTAAAGTGTACAAGGGATGGGACCCAAAAATGTAACCACAGTATTGGAAGTTTTCTATATTTTACCAGACTTAAATATGTTGAGGATTTGTATTGTAATCCCTTCCAGTAACCATTAAAAATTAATAGAAAATGGCACAACTAAAGCCAACAGATTAGGAAATAAAATCAGCACAGTGGTGCACGAGGAAGTTTCAGACAGTAATAGCCTCATGAAGACAAGCATTAACATCAATATATGGACAAAAAAATACTTCTATAAGAAACCTAGAAACATAGAAGTTGCAATAGCCAAGAAAATCTTGTACCAAAAATAAGAAAACATGGCATTTTGCTTGCCCACATCCCTCATCTAAAGTTGCAAGCCCTGACCTAAAGGACAGTCTTTCAATTTGGGGTTTCACCTTCAAGGTGAAAAGGAAAGAAAAAAAAATCCAGAAATTGTTCGAGGTTTAGGTTTCTGTAGCCTCACAGTGCTGATGAGAATAGCATTATAGTTTGCATACCGATTGGAGAATGCTGAAAACAGGCAAGTGCTGCTGTGACACATACCCCTAGAAAAGGTTAGCTTGAGAGATTCCAAAATCTATAGCATTAGAGAGGTGACTGTTTTCCCAAAAAGCCTAAATATTAACAAAAGATCATAAGGAATACAAAGAAGCAAGGAAGCAGTTTCCAGAAACTGTCCATAAAGAAATGCAGTGTGAAAAATACCACAAGTGAAGGGAAAAACTCTAAAGGAGTTCAACACCAGACTTGATGAGGCAAAAGGAAGATTTAGGAAACATTAATACAGTCCTACTAAGAGAATTATATATTTTTCAAAAAGGTAATTGAGGAGAGTGCAAAGTTCTTATGGAATACCATCAAGTGGACAACAGATACATTTAGATAGTTCCAGAGGGGGAGAGAAATAAATGGGCAGAGAGCATATTTGAAAAACTAATTACTTGAGACTTAAAATATTTTGAAAGAAATGGAGATACAAATTCAAGAAACTAAAAAAACTCTGAGATAAACTAAAAGACGAATCAAAATGTTGGTCAGGCTCAGTGGCTCACACCTGTAATCCCAGTCCTTTGGGAGGTAAAGGTGAGAGGATTGCCTGAGCCCAGGGGTTTGAGACCAGCCTGGGCAACTTGGTGAGACCTCATCTCTACAATTAAAAAAAAAAAAGCCAGATGTGGTGGTGTGTGCCTGTAGTACCAGATACTTGGAAGACTGTGAAGGATCACCGAGGCTGCAGTAACTGTGAGTATGCCACTACGCTCCCACCTGAGGGACAGTGAGACTCGGATTAAAAAAAAAAAGCTAAAGGAACTCCTTCAGGATGAAACAGAATTCTGGACAGCAACAAGAAGCCATGTGAAAATATAAAGTTCTTCAATAATGATAACTGCATGAGCAAATACAGAAATTTACATTATTGTAATTTTGGCAAGTTCACCTTCAATTTGTTTATAGAATTTAAAGGACAAAACTATAAATCTGTGGTAAGTAGTATTCTGGGACATCAATAAGGTTATGGCAGAGCAGTAAAAGAAATTTTGTATGTGATTGAATTATTGTCCGTTGAAAACAGATGGCTATAATTTTAGGATGTTTTATATAATCCCCATGGTTGCCACAAAGAAAATACCTATATAACAGGGGTCCCCAACACCCAGGCCCCAGACGTAACTGTCAATGGCCTGTTAGAAACAGGCTGCACAGTAGGAGGTGAGTGGCCTGGGAGCAGAGCTCGGCCTTCTGTCAAATCAGTGGCAGCATTAGATTCTCATAGGAGCACAAACCCTTTTGTGAACTGCGCATGCAAGAGATCCAGGTTGTATATTCATTATGAGAATCCAATGCCTAATGATTGTGTGCCCTTCCTCTCCCCTTCCCCACTGTCTGTGGAAAAATTGTCTTCCACAAAGCCAGTCCCTGATGCTAAAAAGATTGGGGACTGCTGCTATAGAGTATATAAAACAGGAAA